TCAAAATACATTATTTCTGTGGAAATGGGAGCTTTCAGATTTTGTTCGCCAAGGTGCACCATGCTAGACCTGATCGGAAGGCCTAATTTCCCCATAGATGTCTTTTTCAGTAGGTCTTCTATCAAATACTGGAAACCGCATAGTTCTAACTCTTTCTGTTAAAAAGTTATTCAAAAAATACTTAAACGCTTCATCTTCTACTTTTGTAATAATTATTCCAAAATCGAAATCTCCTAAAACAATTAATGCGATTAATGTTTCAGTTTTTTCGCTTATGGATAGTTTACTACTGTTTATTTGCTTTTTCAATTCTTCTATTAAGTCTGTTGTAGACTTTTCTTCAACAGAGAAGTTCAAGAATTTTGCTTGTCAGAAATGACTCTTTATAAATTTCGTTCATGTCGAACTGTGGCTCTTCATTGCGAGAAAAGCTTTTCGTTTCGGTAAAATATGTTTTGCAACCACTTATTTAGTTACAAAAGAAACCAAGTTTTGGAGTTTAGACTGACTATTACTACACATGCAGTTAGTTCTCGAGAATGCCTTTCGCTAACTTTTCTCTTAACATAGTAAGTATAAATAGGACAGAAGACAACAAAATAATCCGATGATTCAATTTTCAAGGGCGATCATTCATTCTCGTATTTATCAACATTCTGACGTACCTTGACAAATAACAAACGTATCGCTTGGGTCTTTCCAGCTTATTGCAATTGAAAGAGAAAAATATCTTGTACATAAAATAACTTCAGGAAAAAGAAATTGTTACACATAATTGTGAATGTTATTACCAAATTCCTTACTGAATTTTCAGTTGATGTCTTATAACGATTTACTTTTGTAAAACTGATGATTTCCAATCTTTTTCACTTCCGTGCAGTTCTTTGTCCAAGGTGGATAGCTCTCTTTCTTGGGATTATTGTAATGATCTGCTCCGCCAGTTGGATCCTGATTTTCAACTTTTAGATAAATGGGTCGCGTCCGACTGACGATGGCGTCATAGTCTTTTTGATACTTAATTTTGATACCAGTTCCGCGAGTCTTATCATTCCAACACTCGAACTGACCGCCCTTTAAGCACACATCTTTAATCGACTTTCCTCCCCAATAATCTTTATCTAGTTGAGCTCTGTTCATTATCACCCAAGCAACCCATTTTTGTCCTTCTTCACATTCGCCTTGAGCTTCTGCATAAATCGTTTGGTAAAACACATCTTCTTCGCTAAGGTCAGTCATTTTCTAGAACACTAAAGCACAAAACTGTAAGCACACACATTAAGTTGAAGAAACCAGGATGGGCACAAATAGTACTGTAAAACTTCCCGTTGAGTTGATTTAACGCTAACTGAAAGTACAGTTACGAGGGTTCTCTACTATAGGTAGGGAATGATATTCAGATCCGAGAAATCCTATAAGTTCCGATCTACCCCTCATACACACGTATAGGTATATGTATATATACAGGGTGTTACATAACCTTTTTCTCCCCCCCTACACGACCTAAAGGACAGATAATATCAGAAAGTATTTATACCAGGTTAAAGCCCATCAAAAACTAGATTTATGAGTG